CCTACTAGACTGAGGCCTATGAGTCACTTTGACCCTTGCTCGTTTCATGTGAAGTGTATCCTGATATATCCTGTTTTGACCACATGCATTTACACTTGGTAGTCAAATGCATTTCCAATGAGTTGGATTGAAAGCAGATTACTATGACATGAAATATTCAGATCAGCTCATAGCAAGACAACCAATTGTTTGTGTTGTCCTTCATTTCGTATTTTTTCTGCCCTTGAAAATATGGTTGCTGCCTGTAGACAATACTGTGCAAACGTCAGAGAATGTCCATTAAAAACAGATATTAAATAAAAGATGTAAGATAATTGTCTTGCATAAGGAAGGGAAAGTCAAAGGAAAATAAGCAGAATTTCCAAAAATAAAGCTCAAACTTCTAAAACCAAAGTTCAAACATACAGTGAAAATGGGACACCTAACAACTGTGCAAGACTTGGTAGACCACCAAAATAAAGCACCATTTAATGCGTTAGGGATTGCTTGGATCGTGAGAAGCAGAAAATGCAACCGAAACTCTATGGCTGAAAAATATCCCTGTAGATTTCTTTGAAAACCTGAAAGCAAGTCACCTGAAAAGAATTGAAGCTGTAATAAAGGCAAAACATTGAAACCTAAATACCGAAAAATTTAATACTACATTTAGTTGCTTTGTGTTTTCTGCTGGGTGGCATGGTGGCGCAGTGGGTAACACAGTTGCCTCACAGCAAAAAGGGCCTGGGTTCAGTTCCCTGGCTGGGCGACCAGGGTCCTTTCTGTGTGGAGTTTGCATGCTCTCCCCCATGTCTGCGTGGGTTTCCTCCGGGTGCTCCGGTTTCCTCCCACAGTCCAAAGACATGCAGTCAGGCCAATTGGACACGCTAAATTGCCCCTAGGTGTGAATGTGTGTGTGGATGTGTCTGTCTGTCTGTCTGCTCTGCAATGGACTGGTGACTTGTCCAGGGTGTTTCCTACCTTCCGAGCTCCAGCGACCCAGAAGGATAAGCGGTTTAGAAAATGTGTGTGTTTTCTGCCTCTTTTCCTGACACGGAAAAATTAAAAACGGGGGTGTTTTGACCGGCAATCAAATAAAAAAGAGTGGTCTCTGACTTTTGCACAGTACTGTCTTACAACGTCTATATGTTGTCTGCAGTTTACTGGACGAAAGTATGTGTCACAAATCTTAATGAGCATTTAATTTCTCAATCATGCATGTACTTCACGATTAGCCCCCTGTATTGGTCATTATCATACCATCATGTGTTATGACAATGTACTGAGAGGGGTTTTGGTTTGGAAATGCCACTTGGAAAGCCAGATATATTAACACTTGCATAACATCCAACTAAAACGTATCTCAGCCCTCCTGAGTGATCACATGTAAATCTCTTTTGAATGTGCCTTGTTGCATTTACACCTGCATTTTTTATGGAAAATCACATAAAACAAAGTAACAATTGAAGTAAGTCTCTGTCATTTTGCAAAAATAAAAAAGAGCACCAAATGCTTGGAATTATAATGCCATGGTTGCTGTTAGAGCATAAAGTTTTTGCTCTTACAGTTAGAGTAATTTAACTCATCCCAAGAAAAATGAGTCAGCATCTGGTCTTTCATCCATTTAAAAACCTCAGAAAAGATTTGCTGCAACTCATAGACCAGCAACCACAGAATCTATAATACACACTGAAACGTATAATGTGTCCATTCATCGTAGCTGTGGCAGAATTTAAGCAATTTCTAATGATTCTGGCTGATGTTCTGCTTGTTGAAGTTCCTCCTACCTTGGCCTGTGGGCTGGGTCCATATGGCGTGAAGGTGTACTGCCATTCTGGCAGGCCTAAATGTGTTATCATAAGCCTGTAGTATGCAGTGAAGGAGGAGGTGAGAAAGTGCCAGTATAGGGACCGATCCAGGAACCATATTTCACTCTGCTGGGCCACATCACCTAGATAATTAGGACATACAATAAAGAGCAACATAAAATGAATTATGACTTAAAGAGGTTAAATACACTGCAGTGCACCATGCATTATACTTGCTATGTGTAATGCTTTAAACGGATCACCTGGAGTGCAGTTTTGGTAAACAAGACAGACTCTGCCGTTTCCTCCACAGGAGTCAAGCTCAAAGATTCGGCTACGCGAGTCAAAGTGAGGCTCTTCATGGCCCTCTGACCCTAAAGAACATGAAAATGGTACAGCTTACAAAACCTGCTCAAATAATTATACATGTATAATAAACTACCATATTCCTTTCTGAATGTATCCTAATTGATCTTACCTTCAAAAGCCTCCTCAAAGTCAAGGTCAGCTAAAGTGGGTGCACTGGGTAGGGAATAGATGTTTGATTGGGCCAGAAGACGCAGCCTGGCCACACTGTTTATTACCATACAGCCAACGGGGACTGGCTCATCTGCAAGGCACAAGGAAAGTTATTCTCTCTTTCTTTTTGTGCTTTGATGTATTAGATATACCCCTTTATTAAGATAATGTACATATTTAAATCTCCCAACAATAAAACAAAACCTTAGACAGCTACACCACTTACACTAAAATCGTTTTAATTAAACATTTGGTTCAAACCCACAATATATACTCAGAAAAGCTTTTCATGCTGTCTTTTGTTGTGATAATGATATCATATTGTGACATCACCCACACATAATATATTATCAATGCACACATTTCTCTGTGGTTAAAGAAAAATAGTGATTACCAAGATGCTTATATGATTGTACTAACAAGGAACTCACTTTCTAGATTAGCGTTCCAGGTGAGAGTGAAGCCATCTGTTGTGAGATAGAAGTCTCTTAGGTCCTCTGGCAAAACACAGTTGTTTTTCTGAAGGACAGACAAGCATATACTTGTAGTAAATCAAATAATACACTTATATTTTCTCAGAATATGCTGTGTGAGCTGTAACTTACTTCACCTTACCTGCTCCCATGAGAGGAGGCATCGTTTCTCTGCAGGTTCTCTCTCAGCAAATCGTACATCTATCACACCAGGGAGGCTCTCTGGGAATGTAATAAAAGAAACACAGAAATTAGAAGAGTAATGACCCGGCTGCTGAGGAAGTTGATATCTATGTAAAATACCAGGCCACTGCAGTGAAAGGAATACCTCATAATCAAACTAGAACCAGCAGGCAGGCCTGTCTGCCTAAGCCATCCACTACAGTCAGAGTTACTCAGCAGACTAGAGAAGCACTAAGTTCATTAAAACACCACTGGCGTTCTCATGGTTCTTCATGGGTTCTTCAGTAAAGACAATGGTTCTATATAGAACCATTAACACTCAAAGAACCATCTGCAAGCTCAAAAGGTTCTGTGCATGGTGAAATGGTTCTTCAGATTGATGGAGAATGTGTTGTACATGGTTCTATACAGAATCTTCACGAAAATGGTTCTATATAGCACCAAAAAAGGTTCTTCTAATGTTACAAGCTTGACATTGCAACAACAGCAGAACCTTTTTTGGCGCTGTATAGAACCATTTTCAAAAAAGTTCTATAAAGAATTCTATATAGAACATTTCTGGATGTTCATTCACACATTTCTCCCCTTTTTCTTTTACCAAAATGAACTAAATCATCGTGTGTGAATCACCATGTGTAAACCGCTGTAGGTCTCCTTTCTCTATCTCTCTCACTGGATGAGCATAAGAACCAAACTCATGTATTCCTGTAAAAGGAACCCACGCAGATCTCATCATTATCAGGTCCAACCTCACATCATCCATAACCAACTGGTTTTGTTCTTCCACCTCACAAGAACGAGCCAAACTCCAGCTCATAAGCAGGACAGCAGAGAGGATCATTGGATGTAGCCTGTTAAAATGTACTGGCAAAATTACAGCTGACCCCTCTCATCCTGGACATCACCTCTTCCAGCCACTCCCCTCTGGTAGAAGATTCAGGGCCACCAAATCCAGCACAAGCAGACATGCTAACAGCTTTTTCCCCAGAGCTGTGGCACTCAATAACCACAGTGGACACCTCACACTTTTACTTTAAACTAAACCAAATACACCTCCTTACTGTATTACAGACACTCCTCTGTAATACAATATTTGCACAACTGTACAGATGCTAAATTTCAGCAAATATTCATATCATTCTGTAATATTCTGTATATAATAATTTTCATCGTATATATCACCAGACATGCACAAGTATAGATATTCTTAAGTGTATATGTACAGACATTCACACTTCTCTTTAGCTCCTTTCTGTGGCTCTTATTATTATTCATTATTCATTGCTCTTTATTCTATTTATTGTATTTTATATGTATATTATATAGGACCATGACTAAGGAGTAAGAAGGCAGGTGCTCTACTAGTGAGGCTACTGAGAAAATTAGATGTATTATGTAAAACAACGAAGACAATGAAACACAAATGACGTTAGGTCTGTTACTCAGTTGTAGCAGCCTCAGTAGTGCCTCACATGTAGGTGTTTAAGAACGGTAACTTAGCAGGTGCCATGCTGTGGCCTTTTAATATGCCAACTTTTAATATGTGTACAAGCCTCCCTGTGTTTTAATACAGACAGACAAATAAACAGAACATAAACGTTGCAAATCCTAACAAATCGTAGCCCCTAAAATACGAATAGGAAGGTTAAATGTGAAATAGCGAGTAAGGATACCGTCATTAATCCAATAAATCCCGGCGCCGTTTCTGCCCTCAGTTTATGATCCGTATGTGTTTAGATGAATGTTAGTTAATGATCACTCACCTAAAATCCGAGTAATTCCTAAAGTAAGTCTTTCTGAAAAACCCTTCAAGGGCTTTTCTTCCCTCGCATCCTCCATTCCCAACACGGTCTCTGTAGTAGCGTTAGAGCCGCATCAGTCCCACCGTCACCAAAACAAAGGGACACTGTATTCCTATTCGTTCACAAAAATGAAAGACAGGTGATTTGGCCAATATCACACGTGTGAGGGGCGTGGCTATGGTAGGATTATCAAATCCGAATAGTGCACACTAAAATGAGGGCGGGGCTTCGCCAGCTATTCCGGCAGTGGCGGTTGTTTCAGTATGGCGTCCGTTGCTGAGGGCAGAAACGGCGCCGGGATTTATTGGATTAATGACAGTATCCTTACTCGCTATTTGACATTTAATCTTCCTATTCGTATTTTAGGGGCTACGATTTGTTAGGACTTGCTACGTTTACGTTCTGTTTATTTGTCTGTCTGTATTAAAACACAGGGAGGCTTTTACACAAGCGACGTTTTCTATATGGACGCTAAGTAGCTAGTTAGCCAAGTTAGCTTAAAGGCTGGAAGGATGATCAGAAATTTCTGTCACCACAGTTAGTTTTATAACAGCTTCTGTGAGAGTTAGGCTATTTCTACTCTCCTTTTTTGCTTAGATATTTCATATTTTTACGCTAGATATTTTGTTAATGGACTAAACATCTGTAAAAAGTTACTTTTGTTGCTCCTTGAAAGGGAATTCCACCGATTTCTTCAAAATGTACACATAATTCAATCGGTGAGATGTCAAAAGTCATCCACAGTGGTTTGATTGTAGAGAAATTTACCAATGTGGATTTCCCACAATAGTGGTGATAGGAACCAGAGGTTGTAATGTCTGCAACGCAAATATAACCATGTTATTTACTATCCAAAACCACCAGTTAACCTACACTTGTCTTCTGAGTTTTAATATATGAAGTTAATAAGGATAAAATAGTCGTAAATCTTTAAAACAAAGTCTTGGGGTGCTATGTTTTTACAATGCCCAGTACCTCTGTATTTAAAACAGTCATTTTTTTACAGTATGTTTATTACCATTTTATGTACTAACTTTCTGTGAGGTAGTTTTTAATGGCATTAAATAATTAGTTTGGACCTCTGGTTCCCATAACTATCTCTGTGAACAGTTCTGAGTTCAGAAAGTAGTATTTCACATCAAACCGCTCTGAATGACTTCATTTACATCTTAAACATTTTATTGCAGACACTTAGAGAAATAAGTGGAATTGCCCTGTTATTTCAGTAAGCCTATCTCTCTTCCTGTCCTTCTGCTTTCTTAAGCTTTTGTTGACAGTTTTTTGTTTATATATGGTCATGGTAGAAAATAAATTAATGTTTTTCCATCTTTACAGTGGCAAAAAGACGCATCCTGAGTATAGGAATAATTACGCTTAACTTACTTAACTTGTAAAGCATCAGACGAAGAGCAGTCCATGGTCTTTATTCCAGGTGGGGCTTTATGCACCATTAACCTATATCAGAAAATATCAAATTACCAGAGAATGTCAGAATTGGTGTATTGCTTGTGATGTTAAAGGAAAACTCCACTGATTTTTCAAACCTTCTGAATAATTCAGTTGTTAGGATGTAAACAAAGTCATTTAGAGTGGTCTGAATGTGAAATGATCTGTTTTAGAGAAGCGGACAGAGGCGGAGTCGCCCAGAGCGGTGTTGATAGGAACCAGACGTCTGAAGTGTTTAATGCCTCTAAAAGCTACATCACAGAAAGCTACTATGCTGCCTGATGTTTGAGACGTTGTTTTATGATAGTTTTGAGATAAAGTTTAGGCCTGAAACATTCTTGACTAATAATGGAAAATCATAACCAATACCATATTTTTTCTGATTTACCACACCATTATCAACATTACATGTAAAAGCTTCGATATGTGTAGGTTCACTGGTTGTTTTGGATGGTAAAAAAAGACTGTAGACATCACAACCCCGGTTCCTGTAACTACCATGGTAAATAAATGTATAAAAGAAATTAATTTATGATATGCTTCTCTACAATGAACGATTTCACATGAAACCACTCTGAATGTCTTTGTCTTTATGTCAACAATTGAATCATGCGTACATTTTGAAAAAAATAGAAACTTCTCCTTTAATGTATTTCCCCAAACTTGAAAAGACTTCCTGGTAATTTGATCCATTTCCTTTGCATACGTTTTTGCATATTTACTGTTAAACAAAATGCTATTTTAATATGATGTGCTGTGAAGTGTTGAACAAGTCTGCTGTTGCTCCACTCAAAATTGTCAAGCTGTTCACTTGCCTTTCTTTTTTTTTTCCAGGGGTGAGTAAAAAGATGGGGCTGAAGTCTGTGTCCACAGGCAGTAACGAAGGGAGGGTCAAAGGGAGAGCTGCCTTAGACAGAGCAGAGATGAGTAGGAAGAAAGCAGGCCTGCCAATGTCACGTCACGCTGTAGAAACACCTGTACCTAAGGCTCCATTACAGAAGACCTCTGCTTTTTCTGCCAAATCTAAAACCCCTACCCAGTTGTCAGAGCCACCAGTGACTCAGGTAAGGATAAATTTACTTTGACGCCCACATTGCCAGATGTGCTTGAAATTATTCTGTTTGAAATAACAATTGTTAGAAAACTTTTATGTAAATTTCTTTTGATTTTGGTTCTCTTTGCACCCTAAATTATCATTTCTTTGTTGTGTACAGGCCCTGTCCCATAAATCTGAGGCCAAAAGCAAAGCTTCACTTAAAGACCTCTGCCCAGAAGACAAGCGTCGCATTGCCAACTTGATTGAGGAGCTGGCCAGGTATATCTCTTACAAATTAGCATATGTAGTTTGTGAAAATGCTTAATTTTTGTTTGTTTTTGACCCCAGCTGAAAAACAAGTGGCAGTTCAAATGGGCACTTCTGAATTAAATTACTTTAATTAAACTCAAATTATTGTTTTTTTTATACCAGGATCACTTGTTTTAATATGCACACTATAAGTATGTGCCCTAATTCTTACACCTCCACTTTCCAGAGTAAGTGAGGAGAAAGAGGAGTCTGTGCAGAGACTCAGAGACGAACAAGAGACGTTTGAGAAAAAGATCCAACAGCTCGAGCAACAGAACCGACTCATTGTGCAGGAAAGAGAAAGTATCCTTTGTTTCTGTCTGAGAAGCACTCGTACACATTTGCATAATTGCTTGAAGTACATACTTCAAAAGCAGTGTTTTGGATATTTCCTCTCTTTTGAAACTTGTTTAGTTTTAGAATTGCAGTCATTACTTTCAAGTAGTAACTAAATGTCTAGTTGTTATAGATGGATGTCAGTTTAATGGTCTTTCTTCACTGGCATGCATATCTGTACTGCTGTTAGTGGAGGCTAGCAAAAGCTTCCTGAATCACAATGGCATCATTTCAGTTGGCAGACAGGGTCTATTCCATTCCATTTCAGCCAATACAGTAGATGAATTTAATTTCCCGGTAAAAGTCGCACATAAAATGTATGTGGATGAAATATGAATTGAGAGCTTCGTCTCCTGAGTGGAGTGAAATTAAATTGACCCCTACGTTTCTACTTATTGTATGATTTGCATCAAACTTAATTGTTGCTGATTGGGTAAATAATCCAGGTAGACACGTTTTTTAGTTGAGGCTCTTGTCTGGGCTTTAATGTCATGATGCTGGTGAGTCTTTTGTACCTGTCTGTTGAAACATTTTAAAGCAGGGTTAGTTGCTTTTTTTCATGATCTCATTGGTCTAAAATGCTGGTGCAATACTTATGACTTCACTGCAGGGGGCATTGTTGTTTAAGCCATAAATGTCTTTGTGTTTTGCTGAAACTAAGTGGAGGATGCAAACCCTATTGAACCGTATCTGTATATCTGTATTTAAAGAAAGGAGACTTACCGTCTGCCTTCTGTTTTATAAAGGAATATGCAGATTTTTTTAGTGTTTTGCCGTTCTCTCTTGTGCATGTTATGCCCTCATTTCCAGTTCCTTTAAACATAATGCTGGAGATGTACATGGTGTTCTGGGCTAAACAATTTTATTTGTGTCCTTTATGCTGCTTAAGCGTTTGTGCAAGGGTTTACCGTTGATTTTGGATGTTTTCACTTTTTATTTCTATTAGATTAAAAGCACTGGCATCACTAGAGGGAATGGTCAGGTTTTCTTTTTGTGCCAGCCCATCATTTTGTTGGAACACCAGAACCCTCTCAGAGTTCGCAGTCGTTCCTGTTTGACAGCTTTGCAGTCTTTTGGCGATTTGACACGGGTCAAAAAATGTGGCGAACCATCGATTTTGCCCTGCGCCGTGAAATATGAAGAGTAATCACTGGCTGCTAAATTGCACATTTGGCACCACAGCTTTGAAATAAGAAGTGCACAACACAATTAAATGCACTTTGTCTCCAAGTCCTAGCATTTGCACTAAACTTCTAAACTCCATTAAAAAGAGATTTTAGTCTAAGACAAACTCTGCGAAAGCCCTTCGAGGAGATTGGCACTCTAAAGGCACCAAAGAGACACTGGCTTTTCAGACTGCTCTAAAAGGTTAAGGGGAGGCGAAAGGCAAACTCACTTAAGGAGACTTGTGTAGAATAATCTCCAGAACAATCAGCTCTATCTCATCTGCCAGGACCACAGTTATCAGGGGGATATCTCCATGCTTTGGATGGAAGCGAGGAAAGAGAAAAAAAAATCATTAAATTCTGTACTGTGAGATGAAATTTGAAGCTCATGTATAAAATGAAATTAGAATTTTATCAAGTCTCTGTTTGGCATTCTGCGCCACGTCGCTGAGCTGTAGATTCCATTACAGAGAGCGGCGCTAACTTTGTTCCTCGGAAAGAATTTACATCAAGCACTATAGAAGACACAAAGGGGAAATTGAATGCATTCATCAATATCATTAATCTTCTTCAAGTTGGGGGTAGCAGCGTTTTGAACAGCGTTGATGGATGGCAGCACTAAAAGCACTTTCGTAATAGTTTGTTTGCCTAGTTATGAGTTTGTTGATCCTCTTGTTCTTTGGTGGGTCCAAGAACTCATGAATTAGCTTTCTATCACAGACCCACTGCGCAAATATTTATGAATAATTACTTTACCGCACTTTCTAACTGGAAATAACAAACCGCATTTCCGTCGTAAGCGAAATATCATGATATTGCAAAATGCGAGAATTTTTTTTTCCCTTTAATGCAAATAGCAGTTGTGCAAACTGTCCTCCTGTCGATTTACATCACAGCCCACACAAACGCACACTCGCACACAGACTAGGCCTACTTGGCACCGAGCACAGGCTGTTAAAATATTCTCTTCGGCGAGATTTTGTTCCACCTTGAGGTGGATTTCATTATTTCATTTCTGTGCAGGCTGACAGGGGAGTGAATCATGTTGACAGCGCCTGTCTGAAATATCGAATGCAAACTCTGATTTTGTGTATTTTTGGACGGGGGAGGAGAAGCCATCGCTCCAGCTTTTCTTTCCTGATGTAGGGCCTGTGAAGCTAGCTCCGATTGGCGGGCAGCCAACAGAGGTGCCAGTACGGTGGGGTGCGGGAAAGAATCTTATCAGTCGCGCTCCAGTCGCTCCAGATTACCAGTTGCTGAGCGTTTCCTCCGCATCCTCCCGTTAATGTATTAATGTATGTGTTTACGCCCCGCCTGCCTATCGAAGTATCAGAAGCTTCTCGTCAGCAGGCTGGAAGATGTCCGCATGTGACGCTCTGAGATGAGCTATGAGCGCTTTATGAACACTCCATGCTTGTTTGAAATGAGAGGTCTGCTTATGAGAAGTCCATACTGACCAGAGGCATGTCCGTTACGTCTGGATCTTGCTTACACCTTGCATTGACGTGTTTCGTGCCTGGATCGAATCTGGATATGCTTTGGCCGGATTCCATTTACCTTTTTCACTGAAATACATCCTCACCGTGACCAGATCCGATTTTACTATCCTGCTTAAAAAGCACATCGACACAGACATCGCTTTGATTTACTTCTGTTTACTTTTTCCCTGCTACGATATGAATCGACAAGCTTCACTTAGTTTCGGGATAACTCCAGCCTTGCGTGTCCTCCATCTCGCTTTTCCCTATTTACCCTCTCGTCTGGTAGTCAGCACTTGGCAGACGGATTTCTGCGTATGATTGTATGCGGGTGTAGAAAACTCATTCCATTTATGCTTGTGTTGAATGTGGTCAAGATCTGTCTCTGACCACCTCCAAATGTGATTTGAGTGATCCTATCATAATTTGATCACAGTGCATTCTGGGAGTGTTTACACATTATGAAAAGTGATACAAACACTGTTTACATTTTGTTGCAAGGTGTAAAACAGCCTGAGCAGTGGTTTTGAACATGTGGGCTGCAGTGGTGCCTCTCGGGGTCTTTTTTAATAGTTTTTTTTTTGTGTTGCTAAACCTTGGTACGATATATAGACATTTAACCAAAAAGTATTTTTAAATGTGACAAATTTTATTCTTGTGAGAATTATTTGCAGACATATTTAAGCCAAAGTAAGTGACTAAGTGAGCAAGCTGCATTACTGACATAACTGATGTAGTTAGCTAGTTATGTTAATATTTACAATGCAAGTCAATGTAAAACCTTTTTATTTTTGATCAGATCAATTTATGAAATGGCTACAAAACAAAATTGCTGTTTCTAATGTTGCATGATTATAAAGTCTAGTGCAGTTTGATTTGTGGTTTATTTTTGCAGGATCCTTTGTGGTCTGTTGGGTGAGTCGTAAAAGCTTGTGAACACCTGTCCCAGAACACTGCAATGTGTCGGTAAATTCTGTAAATTAAAGGAATAGTTTGATGAAAATCAACTGTTTCCTTTATTTTAAAATGTAGTTGATTACTCAAGACATTTCAAGACGTTTGGTGTCTGACAGCATCTTTACTTTTGCACTGGAGCTTTGAGGCCAGTGTGGCCAACAAGTAGTTTTAAATATTTTTTTTCTATAAATAACTCGTAGCTCTGGTGCAAAACTGAAGAAGCAAAACAGGCACCAAACATGTCTTGGCTGGTCAACTACATTTTTGAATGACTACTCTTTTAATATGATGTGTGTGCATGAGATGCATAAAAGGCCCTGTTCAGACTTGGCATTAACATACGTCTTAGATGAGCTGTTCATAAGTGGACAGTGCTCACTTCAGTGTTGGTGGGGTGCAGTGCGTCACAGAGATGCGTTGTGATCTGTTCACTTAAACCACTTTTGGAGGTGGTCAGAGACACACATCACATTTGTAGTGTCAAAGGCAAAGCATTCTGAAGCGTCCTAGATAGCGACAAATCATCACTGTCTTTCTTCGTCTCCTCTCCTGTTTATTTATAAGTTGCTTTAGTAGTTCCTTTGATCTGTTTGCAGTAGGGATGTGCATTCCAATTAATTTTAATATTAAAAGATCCAGAAGAGTTCATGAACAGAGAAGGGAAAAGGGGCTACAATTGTTGTGGCTTACTTTTTTAGGTGACAGCACTGTTATTGTACAAAACTTTAGCATCATACAGAGGAATACATTTCAAAACGTTTTATTATTCAACAATAGCAAAAGGATTTCGGTAGATTTTCATGTTGGATGAGTAACATAATAGAGACTGCCTCAGTTGACCTAATGAGCTAAAACTGCAGTACAGTGCTAGATGCTGACCATGTTGACCATGTGCTAACATAGTTTGTCAGAGAAATGTATTTTAACTGTTTCTGTATCTACTTCATCCTAGCTCGTTTAGCAATAAAAGCCGTGCCCATTTGGCCTTCACATCCTTAACAATGCATCCTTGGCAGCGTGACTGTGTCAAGGCCCAAAACATACTTCATGCAAGGACGTGAACGCAAATGACAGCGCTCGACCAGCGCTTTGCAAACGCACGGTCCTTCTGTACAAATTCACCGCGTGTACTTACGTTGCTGTGGCGGTTAAAACACTGTAAAAAGTACTGAAGGGGCGACAGAGGACAAACCAGAGAGGGGTCTACTGCTATTCCAGGAGCCTTAACAGCTAAACGTGGACAGTAGAGAAGAGTGAGCTGCTTTACCTGTGCTCTTGGAATGGCAGTGTAATAATCTTTGCGTGAGACTCACCTGCTCGTCTGCTAGGGCAGTTGAGAAAGCACGCTGGCGGTGCAAAACCACTTGGTCAGGCTTGGCCGTTGTTAGAGCGCCCCTTGCTGTAAAGCTCAGATCGCTGCTTGCGCTTGCGTTGCGTTATGAAATGCGCTTTTGAATGCAACTACATGCGAAACCCCGTCTGCGAAGCTCGAGGCATCTACGCTCGCATCCTTACGTGAAGTATGTTTTGGGCCTAAGGCGCTTGTGTTTCGGAGCAGCAAAGTATAACATACAAATACAAGCAAAACTTTCATGTTTTACAGTTCTGTTAAAACAGAAAACTGACTTGACTTGTTGGTCTGTATATTTTCAGTATCTTCCCATGAAGAAACATAACAAATAACCGAATAGTGATTTTAATGTTTGAATACTGGCACCTTAAACCGTTAACCAGCTCCCCGTGCACGTTTATAGTTTGTGACAGCACATATTTGTACACGAACAAGTACTTGCAGTGTGTGAAATCCGTTAATACGTGGTCACTGGACACGCATTTGAGACACATAGAAATGCCAGATGTAAACGCCTATACATCTCTTTGTCCACTTGAGATCAGATAACTTGAGACAGATCTTAAAACCAGGTGTAAACAGGGCTTAAGACTCAATTTAAATGCTATTTGGTGGCTGTTTTAAGACTTTTACTGACCTTAGATGAAAACATTAAACAGCATGCATCATCTGATTTACAGGAGTGAGTAGTTGTGTTTATGGTCTTGGGCTTTTATGAAGTTAGCTGAAAGGGTGCTCAAGAAAAAAGGCTTATAAAAACTTAAAAGTAGCTGATGTCCTTTGTTTGTGTGTGTATAGACAAGTGAGTGAGATAAAGAAAGAGACAGAGAGAGAGAGACGCTGAGCTGGCTACGTCATGCTGTCATTAGCCGGCCCACCCGGCGTGGCGGCGGTTCTGCTCCAGATCGGTTCCGTTCTAGCCGCTGCAGTGTGTTTGCCAGCTCCCTGTCTCTGAGCTTGGCACCGTGCCCTAGCCTGGCCAGCCAGACCCAGATGGAGGAGTCTGTGAAGCCCTCGCCCTGAAGAAACTGCTATCTTCCCCCAGCAGTGCCTCTGCCTTTCCACTCTTTTTCCTCTCTGTCTGCACTTTTCACAAAGTCACAAACATGACTTCAGGGGCTGACTGCTCCAACTCAGTCATAGATGCTCTAACGCCAGAAGCCATAATAGGTTTCTGATTGGACTTGCGGCCTCTTTGTGTCACTGATGTGTTTTCATACCTCCAGGGTTCTACTGCAAAAGAGTCCTCATGGGAATATCTCTTAACTTTTCCAATCCATTCTGTGAAAGTATAGGCTACGTGCTGTGGTCTTCAAATAATAAGATTTAGTTTTGCATATAGAATTACTGATTTTTAACTGCTAGACTTCTGCTTCTTTTGCATGGAGGGGAAAGCTTTACACTAGATGTTGGAACTATGAGGATTTGATTGCATTCAGCCAAAACAGCCTTCAGAGTGAGGTCAGGTGCTGATTTTGGATGATTAATCCTGAATCCACTTCAGCTAATTCCAAAGGTATTGAATGGAGCTCCATCACTCCAGAGAATGCAGTTTCACTGCCCCACAGCCCAGTGCTGGAGTCTTAATACCCCTCTGTCCAGCGCTTTGTATTTGGCATGGTGACCTTAGGCTCATGTGCAGCTGCATTTCAATATTTGTATCAGTCATAGGTGCACTTCTAAGTAGCTGAATTCAGTATTTAAGAGATGTCTGGATAATTTTGGATGTATAGTGTATCAGTGACTGATATTATTTGAAATAAATAAATTGAAAATTATTATTATTATTATTATTATTATAGTTAGTCTCAAATATTTAGCTTTTTAGCAGTGATGCAGTCACTGGTGGTGGAAATTTCCTTTCTTTTACACTCAAGCAAATGGATAGCAGAGTGGACAACTATGGAGTTCAAGTCATATTTTGAATTTGTATCTTACCATCTCAAATTGAATTTGTCCAATATTGTTTTCAGATTCCCATTCAAAATCTTTCAGAATGAAATCTAGGTGTCTTTCAGGCAAAAGCAGACAAACACTGAATCTCTTCAGCGGCAAATAACATGACTTGTTTTAGAACAGAAGTCGTGCAGAACAGCCATTAAAGCAAGTGCAAGATGTAGCATGAATTCTAAAAATGAAAATGTGAATTAACAGATAACCTGTGTGATTTTTAAAAACTGAATTTCAGATGTTCAGTCGCAATTTGTCAAGTCTAAAATTTCTTACACAAAGGCATTTCAATGTGTTTAACATAATGAAAAACTGTAAAAGATAAAAAATCTTAAACACGTAATTAAAAGAGAGTACAAAGTTTGTAAAGTAGAATACAAACATACAGATTAGATATAGATAAAACAGGGTAAGATACAGATTAACTTATAGTTAGATACAGGTTTAAAATAATGACGTTCACATTCGAAGTTTTGCATTCAGATTTCTAATGGCATGAATCTAACTCAGTAATAATGATCTGCTTCACTCACAGAAGGTTTTACATGGTCCCTAGGCAGGGACTATTACCCCAGTAGGAGTAGACACACACTGCTATACCGATAAGAGCATGCCACAGTAGAGTCCTTGGGCTGGACTACCAATATTATATTTACCTAACGTTGTCAATGCCTCTGGACACGAGTATCTGCTTAACAAGAGGTTCCCAAACTTTTTCATGCCAGGTGTCTCATGTTGTGGTAATGATTGTCCCAAGACTCACCAGATATTTTAAAAAGTAAAATAAGACATAAACTTGTTAAACCATGAAGCATCAAGCATACACAATAGCATATAATTATAAAATAATGAAACGTATCAGGCTGCCCTTACATACTTAGAAGGATTGTGGAATAGAAAAATAATGTAATAATGATTAACTTTTTCTACTTATTTTGTATTTAGCTGGAATCAGTTCACCTCATACCTGAACACATTAATACATGTAATTACATTTTTTTAGATTTTACATTAATCATTTAAGTTCATTTAAATCCAAGTTGTCAGCTAGATTACTAGTCATCTCTAAACTCTGATCATAACAGTCACTGCTGTGTTACGGGCATTAAAAAGTCACGAGTGACAAACAGGAGCATTTTTTACAAGATTGTAGTGACGTTGCTCGCAGTAAGTAGCAAAAACAAGTCTAAAAACTCTTGAGTGCGTTCCTTCTGTCATCAGTTGTGTTGCACAGTAACTGCATTTCTTCCTGTCCAGTTCAGTCCGTGTATTTGTTTTTTCTCCCAGTCAGATAAATTCAGTGCATAAACAGTAATTTCATCAGGGGCATGCAAATTGTTTTGCATATGACTATCAGTATTGACGCAATAAGGTATTTCATTTTTTGGCCATTGTATTGATGCAGAAATTCCACATCTGTAGGTCTCTCTTTTTTTGTTTTTTTTTTTTTGTCGGTGCTTTGTACTCTATTCTCTCTTCTTGCCTGCTCAGCATGTGGTGGGCAACACCATAGTATAGGAAAACGGATTGGTTTGTCTGGCTGGAGAGCAGAGTAGTTTTAGTCTTAAGTGGACACAGTAGTGGAGTTATTCAGTGTATGTTGCTCCTTGACCCGGGCTGCAGGCTTGCAGCAGCAGTACAGGGAGTGCCAGGAGCTGCTGGGACTTTATCAGCAGTACCTCTCCCAGCAGCAGGAGAAACTCAACAAGTCCATCGCCCAGCTCAATCAGTCTCGCTCTCACTGCAAGGTAAGCTCTGTGTTTGTGTCTATAAATGCGAACAGTGTGTGCGTGCCCTGAATGTTCTATTATCTAATGAAAGTTATCCTGACTTTACAGTTTCTCTTAAATGTCTTAACACATTTAGTATGTCAGAGTTTATTGTATGCACGGCAAATAGCGATCACAAGCAGCTTGTCATCAGTATTTGTGGTGCATACTATAAATATACAATTAGGATGCTCATAATAGGATACAGCACACAATTAGGAAATGATATGATACGTATCATAATGACTCATTAAAATTACACTGTATAAAATGGAAACAGCAAATCTAAAGCTGAATTTTTTGCATACAGTGCCCTTTGCATCACTAAATCCATGGACTCTGTGCACTTTCTGCCTTCTTACGCTGCTGTAGTAAAGAAAAAAAAATCAGTTTGTCCTTTCTGAAACCTTGGCTGTGAGTAATGCATGTTTGCATGCTCCACGACCTCCTCTTGAATTAGTCAGCAGCCCACTTCAGTCCTCTTGGAGGCGGACGCTTCCCCCTTTGCCCTGAATGTTTATCTCTTGTTTGGATGACCTTGGGTTATTGCATTTACTGGTAGCGAATCCATCCAAATCATCCTTACTGGCTCCCTTTTAGTGGAGCCTGCTTTTGTGACCATTTTCCTGCTGCATTATTATGAAGTCAGCACTTCACTGTCACGGTCTCTCCTCTCTTCACAGATGGCCAGCAGTGAGAAAGCTCTCAGCAGACCACAGGGTGGGGGAGGGAAGGGGACTGCTCTGGATGGCTCTTACTTGGATCTGCCGTCTTATGGAAGTAAGGGTGGAATAGAGGGGGCAGTGGATCGTGCTCAATCTTTTTTAGGAGGGCTCTGTAGTGACAGCAGTGGGCATGATGGGTGCACTATAGGTGCCCACAAGTGTCCAGAAGGAGCATGGAGTGAGCCTGGACCTGATAGGCGCTCAAAAAGGGAGCAGTTGGTCAACACTGCTGTGGGACCACACGGTGCCACAGAGCCTAGAGGCTCATGCCATGGTTTAGGACTGGAGAATAGAAACAAGGCCAGTGTGGAGCTTAGCAAGACAGTGGCCCCACTTGGCAGGGAGGACTGGGCAGAGAAGCGCCAGTGTTTGCTGCTTCAGAAGAAGCAGCTGGAGCTGGAAAGGGAGAGACTGCAGGCACGACTTGCTCAGCAAGAGGAGAGACTACTAAAACAGAACCAGGAGCTCCGCCAGTCCCGCCTTGACTACAGCAAGTATGGCAAATTAGTTGACCTCTGACTTCCTCTCCATATTTTACAGGCCTGCATTTTGGACAGGGAAGACTGCAGTGCCTATTGTCTGTGGTATCCATAACGAAATTCATGACAAGCTTTTTTTTGATGACACATCACACTCCCCTCTGTTTTCAGGTTCCAGCAAGCAGCCACAGCAGAATTAGAGCAGTCTTTTAAAGAAACAAGGCTTAATGAAGATCTTCATCCCAGTGTCATGTTAGATTCACACAGGTAAACTGTAAAGTTAAAAAATTACAAAGTTCCAGAGTCTGTTAAACTAAAAAAAAGTTTTTCCACTTTAAAAAAGTTAACTTTTATTTAATGCCTTGAAAAATGACAAAACTAAATTCAAGTGCTGCTTCAGTAATTATTTCAGGGAATGCGTATGCGGCAGGGAGCTTGTGTACCACCAGGCTATCTTCTCTAAAAACAGATCTCTCTGTCTTTCTTTCTTGGTCTCTGTTTGATCCTGCAGTGAAAGAAAAGAAGGAGGTCTACAGGCCTTGCAGAGAAGTGTCAGACAGCCTTTAAATGATGTTCAGCCACAAAAGTGCAATGGGAACATTCAACCTCCTGAGCCAATACTTGTGCATGGTAAGATGTATGCATGTGTTTTTCTTGTTGGAAAAAATATGGGGAAACACTTATCGCTTGCATAACACTTTGCACCTGAAATACATTTTCCTCCTGAAGAGTTCTCTGCAGTCACCAAGAAGGATATGGCCACCTCTCCTGTGCATTCCCAGAGCTTCCAAAAACCCCTGGCCATGCCCCTCAGCATTCCCAAAACTCCTGAGGCCCCCAGGTAAGCTCAACCTTACAATAAAGGCCCTGTATTATAGATTTTGCTCACTTGTTGATGTAGTAAGTAAACATTGCTAACCTTTCAAATTGTACTATTCACTCCTCAGTCCATAGAGTCTAAAAACAGAACACACACACACACACACACACACACACCTTCTAAGCCGCTTATCCTTCTGGGTGACGGGAACCCAGGCCCTTCTTGCTGTGAGGTGACAGCACTACCCACAGCGCCACTGTGCCGCTGCAAAAACAGCCTGTTTGAATTGATTGTTTTTGTGGTGTCACAAAACCAGCCCCCTTACATATATACACCTATTCAGTCCTTAGCAGTTTAGCAACCTAAGATGCATTCTCAAGCTAGCATAAAACTCGGACAATGTCCTGCTGATGCCTGTTAGTTTAATTCTGTAGATTTTCCTAAATTACAACACTCACTTATGTGCTGCCCGTCCAATGTGTAATCTATTGACATATAAAAGATGTAGAGATTTTGGGTGACCATGACCACGATCATGAATCTTTAAATGATGCTAATGACTGTTTAGCCTCTGTTGTCACTTATGCCAGGCCTTTTTTGTATTGGCAGGTAAGTAATAAGTTAAAGAGTGGAGAACTTGCCCCTAGAATGGGTAATTTTGGGAAATGTAACTGCAGCCCTGTTTGTCTGCTTGTGTTGTAACGTTGTGGCCTTGATTTTCATAATATTGTGTGGGCGTGTTGCACTGCTGAACTGAATTCAACCATTCCATTTGGATGGAGAGTTCTAGTCATTTTCTTCCACATTAAACACAGAGATATTTAAAGCAACATGCACAGCTCTCGTTCATGGTAAAGTTATCATTAAGCTTGGGCAAACAATTGTTGTCTGCAGGATTTGTTTCACTTGCATGTTCCCCAGCATTGCCAAACTGAAAATCAGTTATTTTTCCAAGTGGCTTTAAAAGTATGTATGTGTGTAGTTAATTAGTTGATGTTTGAATAGCCTGTAATCAAGTGCAATCTTTTCTATTGTGTACTTTTTGAACTAACTGCAGATTAGAATGATTGTACAACGAGAATAGTTAAATAAAGGTGAAGCCAACAAAAAAATCACCTAGGACATGAAATAAAACGAAAGAACAATACTATTTTGCATAATCTCAGTACTTGTTTAAGTTTTTGTGATATTCAGTAATATCAGTTATTGTCCCAAGGCTGGTTACCAGTCAAATTCATGCAGTTACATTGGAATTTAAGGATTAAGAATTATTTACTTCTGACTGGTAAAAATGGCAGTTTAGCTTGGTAGCAGAAAGGCACATCCTGTATGAAATGCTTGCTGGACTAAATGCCTTACAGTTTACACTTCACATCCCTATTCGTTAGCTAAAAGTCACTTTAATATCCTGTCACTTTCTTGACTATTGAAAATAGTATTTAATAAATACATGGTTTCACACAAGCTTCTAATTATATTCTAATTCTAAACATGGTCAAAGATGGTAATAAATAAATTCTCATTCATATTGTTCATGTATAGTTGTTGGCATGACTGGGTCAGAAGAGCTAAAGTGGCTTTGCATGGGCAATACATTTAATTTGTGCTCTTGACAGTTTGGTCACTCAAGGACCACTCAGCATTGGAGAGGTTGTTATTTCGATGTGCAAAATCCTGTGCTTGACAGAAGCAGTACTTAACAAATGCAATGAAAGACCCATGCGAATAAATACGATTTAACAAGCTCGATTTTGGAGTGAGTGAAAAGAGGGAAAAAGATGGCAGTTCTGGCTGAACAACACAGCGGGGTTCTTTTCCCACTGCAGGAGCAGCAAGCGGGTGCATTAATTGTGTTTTGGGAAATGTTGCTTCTATGATAGACTTTTTTATGCATATGAAAGTAACAGGGGGAGTGCTATATGGGTGAAAATGTGGGGGGAAACAAAGGAAGGAAGGGAGGAAATAAAACAGAAAAAAAATCAGCGAGGGAGACTGGTCTGAGTGTGATGCAGGCGCTGTTTGATGAGCTAAATGAAGATTTTTGCCGGCTAGCGCTGAGGCTGACAGGAGCCAAGCTGAGTCCCATTAGCTGGCGTAGCAGGCCTCAGCAGCAGGTGTAATTGAACAGAGTTCTCCAGCCCGGGCCGGGAACGCACAGCCTCCCCCCACTTAATGAGAAAGAGAGAGGCAGAGAATGAATCACTGACCGCTAGCGCGAGACACACTCTGAGAAAGGGAAGGAAATTCATTACCGTTTCCCTTTAACGTGGAAAGGTAATTAATGTGACAGCATGTCTTTTTCCACCCCCTCTGTGTGAGCCCAAGTATGTCTCGCTTAGTATGCTGTCCTCCTAAAAATGCGGAATATTTGTAAGTCATTTGTAAAGAGTTCTTGCTATTTTATGATTCTCGAATGAATATACTGTCTTGAAAACTAATTGCCTTTTTCTTTCAGTGATATGTATTGTGAATATTTTGCATTAATGCAGTCCCATCTCTTTGCTTTGATAACCGAGCCCGGCTTTACTGAAGCTAAATGAATTAGCCTAGTTTGCATGTGGCCATGATTTATATGGATGGTATATCCAGAGAACGAGGGAACTGACAAGGATGGGATTTCTCATTGTCGTTTGTGCTCCACATTTATCTCTTGAAGTGTGAAATGCAGAGCACTATTGACTACCCTGGCAGAGATGCCTTTGTTAATGATCTGCAGGATCCTTGAATTTTGAGAGGTTGTTTCACATTCAAATTCTCATTCCACTGTAATGAAATGTATCTGAGACCCAAGAGTATATTATATGCAGGGTCCTACGATTGGAACAAGAACTGGAACTGAAACCCCATTTCAGGCGTGAAAACATTCAGCTATCCAGGCTTGAACTGACCTAGAAAGGGAATAGATGGACATGGCTGGTTTTTATATTGCATTTTTTTTTCCAAAAGTATGTCCTATTCATGCCCAGCTGCCCAGAACCCATATTCTAATAAGGTTTGAGATTGTAGTTTGTTGGGTAGACTAATCCTGATGGGGGCCCAAACCTCACTGACATGACGTGTTTAAGCTAACAAGCTCCACTGAAAGTTAACTTATATGTAGACGATAAATATTTTATTTTAGTCCACCATCCTGGGGCTTCTTTTGCATTATTCAGTAGTGAATCTGATTTGAGGAAATCAATGAAGCTTGTCATTTTAAGGGCTTTTGTTTTTGAGAGGCAGAACCTTGGTGTTGGCACGCAGGCTGGCAGACCTACTCAGGTTTGAGAGGTAGCTACTGGGCATCTTCACTCCATGATCCAATCCCCTGTCACTAGAAGCGCTGCCAGCCTCTAACCAGACGAATATGCCTTTAATGCATTTGGGTTTATGTGAATTTGTGGCATAAACTTTTTGCCACTTGCATTCTACTGATTGTGTCTGTGTGACCTTTTCCAGGATAGGCCAGAACATTATCTGGATCCAGATGGCACTCAATCTGATATTAATATTAGATCATTGCCAGCATGAAATTCTGGATCAGATGGTGTAAGACAGAAAGGATGTATTAGAGCTGATTCAGTAAATTTGTCACAATTATTACATAAATGCCTGATCACAGTTATTTAGATCACCACTATTTTCCACAACATTTTTTCATGTTTATGTCGCAACAAACAGAGTATGAATTGTGTGCGTTTACATACGTTTGGCTGGGGCAAATATGTGTAAGTAAAAGAAAGAAAATGGTTGTTGAGACTCGTCATGGGTCTCACATAAACAACAAAAATGAACTGACTGGTGCTATAACTCCTTTGGAGGGCAGCATACTGTTTGTTTATTTGAGCTTGAGCAGTGCGTGTTGTCCATTGGTAGCTGTAAATATTGACAGCTCGGAAGCAGGATAGCTGATCAGACTCTTTAGGCTTATACTTTTAATATGTGCACACAATGCGAAAAAAATAATTGTACAATTATTTATATAGCAATTAATCATCAGCTAAAACATCTTCTACGTAACAGACCTGTGATTTAGTAGCAAGTCTAGCCTGAAATATCATAGAATTGCTAGTAATAACAATAACAATAGCCACATGTAGCCCAAAATTAACATATGAACAATTTGTATCTGTTCCCTTTATTTAATTTTGTATAATCTAATTCTGCATACATTTGCACTTTACACGTTTTTTTGGTTTTGTATAAGTTGTGGTTGGCTGGGTATGTAGAGTGTTTGATCACTTCGAACATGGGACTTTTAGATGGCTATTAGAAATGGCACTGATCCGATACCAGATATGAGGCCGATATGAGATCCACAATTTTCTAATGATATTGGTGGGAATAAAAAGAATGAATCCAGTCCAATGCTGTATCAATTCTGGCACAGTCACATTATGTGATGTCATGTTAGCTTTGTATTTCTTCCTGTTGGGTAGAAGAGTGATCATGATATTTGAGCATGATGGACTGTTTTAGATACTCATTCCAAGTTAATTACTACAATAAAAAACAGCCAATTTTAAAGCTTAGTAAGAAAAAGTATCAGATTAGTGTAGTCTGATACTGAAGGTTTCAGTGTGTATGTCAGTATCAGAAAAGAAAAAGTGGTATGGTAGGTAATGTGCCCTGTCTAGTGGACATATTAGATGAAGTGCTTCAATTAAAAAAGATCATTTAAAGCTTAGTTTTTAAAGAAAAACAGGCATTAGTATTGGCATCAGCAGACACTCGATAGTGGAAATCATACCATCTCTGTTGAGGAAGGATATCTTTCCCACTCAGTTATTTCTTAAAGTACTCTCTCAGAAAAAAGATACTAAACTTGTCACTTCAGAACCTTTAATTAGGGAACATACACCAATCAGTCATAACATGATGACCACCTCCTTGTTTCTACGCTCATTGTCCATTTTATCAGCTCCACTTACTATATAGGTGCACTTTGTAGTTCTACAATTACAGACTGTAGTCCATCTTTTTCTCAGGCATACTTTGTTATGCCCCCTTTTACCCTTGTTCTTCAGTGGTCAGGACCCCCG